TACTAGTAAAAATATCATCGTTCACGAAGGCTGGAATCCATCTACTTTAACAAATGATATTGCCCTCATAAGATTATCTGCAAAGATACAGTTCAATGGTAAAAATGTTTGACTTTTTATATTAGAATCAAGTCCTAAATGTTATTCATTATTTTAGAACATACTGAGCCTGCTGTTTTACCAAAGAACAATGATGGTGATTATGTTGGTGATTTGGTTTGGGCTAGTGGTTGGGGCAAGGATAGTGACTCTGCAACTGCTGTTTCTCCAGTTCTTCGATACATTGAAGTTCCAGTTTTGAAGCCCCAGACTTGTAGTACCTACTATCTCGGTGTGATCACTGAGAAAATGATTTGTATTAGTACCAAAGGTCATAAATCTACCTGCAATGGCGACTCTGGTGGTCCATTGGTACTTAAACAAGATGACCAAAACATTTTAATAGGCGCAACATCGTTCGGTATTGCATTGGGTTGTGAAAAGGGTTGGCCAGGTGTATTTACTCGTGTTCCTGCTTATTTGGATTGGATTCATGCTAAAACTGGTTTAAAATAAATATTTTTAATAAATAAAAACTCATTTTAATAAACAAGATATTAATTTTTCAAATCTCTGCATCTGCAACATTTATTTCTTAGTTCCGCGTTATGTTATATTGAAGTTCCAGTTATAAAGCAAATCAGGTTGCAGTCCGTACTATTTCGTTGTAATCATTAATAAAATGGTTGGCATTAGCACCATAGCAAATCTGCATGGAATGGTGACTCTGGTCATCTATCGGTACTTAAACAATATAACATAAACTGTTTATAACGTTTCAGTAGTTCTGTGGCAATACAAGAAAATTTGAATTTAAAAAAGCCAAATAATTGGTTTGGGTTATTTAGATATAAGAGTTATGTTCCTCTAGTTTTTCATATTTGCGTTTAATAAGAATATACCACTTGGGAAAGTAGAGGAAGTTATAAAGGATTATAATTAGTCATTATAAAGGTTAATACTCCAAAATTTCAGGTATCTGCAGACCACTTAGAATTGCCTGCCTAACATTTTAGAAAGCAAACATAATACATATGCAATAACTAAGTATAATCGAAACAAAAATTATCTTTTATCTTTATTAATGGATAAAAACGTGATAAAGATGTGTTAAGATCATTATTAAATGGGTGACAAAACTAATATAAAGCTTATTTAAATTATGACTTCAGAAAAGTCGTTGGTATTAAAATTGTAGCATAGAGAATAGAAGTAAGAGATGATCTTTCATTTAGTTTTGATCATTATTTGTGAGTAGATGTACTCTAAATGTGTTATTGAAAAAGATTGAAATATATATTGGTGAAGTAGTGTAAAAGTTCCAAATTTTAATTGGCTTCCTCAAAGAACCATTTCTTAATATCAAGATCCCTCACTACTTTATCTCCTGCTGCATTTGTTAAGAAAGTGTACCACAATCTTCTTCAAGAACCTGTGGAACATCAAGTTGGATAGTATAACACTAATAATAAAGTAATGTAAGGATCACAATAACTTCAACGATGTATTTTTTTATAAGAAGAATTAAAAACCACTTATTTTTCCATTAGGATTACCTACTAACTTTAACTTTACAAGTACAATTAGGGAGAGCATACTGATTTGTGATGCTGATTACATTAATCTTATTTCAAAATATAAGGTGCAAAAGGCAGTTCAATGAAGAAGGGAGATAATTTGACTTTATAGTTGACTTTATAGGTAGAATCAACAAGTATATTGTCAGCAAATTTTAATCCTGATGATTATTTTAATGGTTTCAGTTACTTAAAGCAAATACTCATATGCACCAAAATAACCCGGACATTCAGCAAGTTTATGAAAAAAATATCAATTCTCTCAGGACTTAAGAACCGATGCAGAGACATGGTACTGGAGATAATGTATGGTTTTTATATTTAGAATAATGAATAAATTGAAAACGCATAATTTATTTTCCAGTCCCAAATGCGTTTTCTTCTAAAAGAGAACACATCCGGATGTGTATAATTTTTTTCTAACGAAGATAGCATAGAATTGTTCGGAACTTAAGTGATGATGTATGGAGATCACCCTGTTACAGATTGGCAAAGTGGTAATTGTTTAGTTTGAGTGGATAATTATCAAGAGTGGAGAAGAGTGAAAGTTTAAAGATAATTTAAATAAAGTACCACATAAATACTCTTATATACTCAATATATTATTACATTAATATTACAGAAGCAACCGATTAGTTGGAGATAAAAAATTAATTAGCCCTTATAAGCTATTGAAAGTTCTCAAAGACTTTTGTTATTGAATTCTTATCATTGCCAAATATTTTAATAACTAAAAAATTAAAAAAAATTAAAATGATAGAAATTAATTAAATGTATCTTATCTTAGTAAACTTCTTATGCTGACCGCTTACAATATAAGTATATAAAAGACCAAAACAAATAATATAATATGACAGTTCATTTAACTTTTTGAGTAAGTGCAGAGCTATGAAGCCCTTGGTATTTTTAATTTTGGCGTTAGCTGCAGTCAATGCCTTTGAATTTCGAACCTTGCAAACACGCAATGTTGAAATGCCCGTCTTAGATGAACCAACAGGGCGCATTACAAATGGTGAAAAAGCCAGAGCAGGACAATTTCCGTATCAAGTTGGTCTTTCACTTAAACTGAATCTTTACTCTTCTTCGTGGTGTGGTGGTTCACTAATTGGCAACAGTTGGGTACTGACAGCTGCTCACTGTACTGATGGGTAAGTGAAAATTATAGATCCATAATCAATAAATAAACTTTTTTCTAAAATAATTTATTTAAACAGCGTACAATCTGTTACCGTCTATTTGGGTGCCACGGAGCGAACCTCTGCTGAAGCCACTTATACAGTGTCAAGCAATAACATTATCATTCATGAAAATTGGGATCCAACTATATTGCAAAATGATATTTCTTTAATTCGAATTCCATCAGTTGCCTATTCCAATAGAATTCAAGCTGTCAAATTGCCTAATATCGCCGACTCTTACGACTTATACACTGGCGACGTTGTTGTTGCTTCCGGTTGGGGACGTATAAGTGATAGCATTAATAGTGTTACCGAAGATTTACAATGGGCTGTTCTTGAGGTTATCAGTAATACCAAATGTGCTATGACTTACGGTAGCAAAGTCATTCTGCCTACTAACATATGCGTTGATACATCTGATGGAGTGTCTACTTGCCAGGGCGATTCCGGTGGCCCACTAGTGTTGGTTTCTAGCGGAGTACAAGTTGGTTTAACATCATTTGGTGCCGCAGATGGTTGTGAGAAGGGCTATCCAGTAGCATTTACTCGTCTCACCAGTTACTTAGACTGGATTAAATCACATACTGGAGTTGTGTACTATTAAATATTATAAAATGTTTACATCTTTTAAAAATTAAATTAAAATCATTAATTCAGCTATTTAGAGTCTTTTTTTATAAGAAATCATTTTCTGATATTAATTAGTAGTTAAATGATAGTTAACTTAACTCAAAACCGAGTTTATTCAACATAACTAATCGTATAGTTTTTTAAGTAATCGCTTTACCATGCAATGATTAGTATACTAGATTATGTTCTTACTAGATGAAAGTTTAGCACGAATAAGGAATGTTGACTACCATAAAATGCTTCTAATATGCAATTGTTCATATGAATAGGATTGTTTATCAGTATAAAAATGCTAGATGTATAGGAACTAGTTGACCCAATTAGAAAAACTTTATTGTGGCAGAGATTAAGACACACGTTTTCAAGTGTCGCTGTGAAGAAAGATCCATTGCTTAATATAATGAAAAGTACAGCACAATGTGCCTCTGGGCCTAAGTTGACCCCCCTGGCATCGCTGGTATAACCTAACTTAATGTAATGAAAAGTAAGATTTGATGAAATTTACAAAAAACTTAAAACTATATTTAAAATAAATTGAGAGAAAGGAAATATAAATATAAATAAATATGTTAAAGTGTTTTATAAGAAATTATAGAGATCCATATATTATCCGACTTATTCTAAAATTATTAATAAAATTTTTAAATCAATATTCCTCAATCTATACCACAACTAAGAACTTGTTATGAAGGCACCCTCAATAGGGTGTCGTTGAAGTCGGGTCGGCCGACAATAAATATTTTATAAGACTTATATGGCAACAGGGAAATTATTTTGTGGCGAGGGAAATTATTTTTGGTGAGAGTGATGACCGGAGGTGTTGAATAAAAAGTGTGGGCAGACGGGAGAACAGTTTTTTTTTTTAGCAGAGACTGAGATAAGTTAAGCACGTTTTAAGAAAAACAAAATAGAAATTAATCCATTAACGTCAGCGAAAATTCAAATAATGAATAATATACGAAAAAATTCTAAGTGAACAGACTTTATGTGAAAAAATGTGATTGCATTAACGAAGACCGTTTGTCTGCTGCACATGCTTGCAATAAAAACTCAATTTTGCGATCCTCCAGCCAAGAGTTAAAACGTGCCTTAATTCTAAGCAAAGTTTTGAAGTGGAATATTTTAAATGATTTTTGAAATATGACTTGTCGATCAAAGCAGAACTGTTTTTCGCGCCAGAAAGGTCAGCCATCAGCAGCAACACTGGCGTTAGCCAGCAGTAGCAGAGCCTAAGTCAACAATCAGTGGCAGCGGATGCAGTGGCGTTTCTCAATAAAGAATTAATATAATAAACAAAGAGTATGCGTTTAAAATTTTTGGTTAATGGGACGGGGGACGACAAGAAACCCTTCTAGGTTCCGTTTCAATCGCGCATTTCCGTATTAACAGCTGATTAACGTTTTTGAGTTTGAATTGCTGTTGTGGTCTAAGTTAAGACCTAAATATATACATGCTGGGAACAGCTATTACACTACTAAATAAATTATTGGTGCTAAGCTATAGCTAAGATCAAACCTCTTATAATAATATCCCATCTAAGATTAACTTAATATGTTTCCATTGACATTGTAATAACTTTTATTTGGGTATACACCAACAGATTAAGATGTAGAGAACCATTATTAATTTTTGCATGTTTAGTTTTATATTCTCAACTAAACAACTGAATTGAAAAAATAAGTGATAATTCCAATTTGAACAATTATACCAAGAATAAAAGAGGGTGGAAGGTGTGAAAAAAGTTAGATAGAGAAGGTGTCCCCCGGCACTTATTAATGGTTAAAAGTTTAGTGTTGGCTTAACCGAACTAAGCATTACTTTCATGAAGACCGTAAATAAAACCAGTTTTATTTCCTTTTTTTAACAAGTAGTTAGGGAGGCAGTACACATACCTTAAGATGCCGATAATGTCTTTGTTATCGGTTATCTCTTCCAGTGAAAAAAAAAAAAAGCGATCCTCGAGACATTGAAATCGATTGAAGTCCTGGAAGTGGTTGATAGATTCTGCCTCCTCTTCATCTTGACAACTCCTGCATAATCCTCTTGTTAGAATTCGCCACTGTTGGAGCATAGGTGCAATGGCACAGTGCCCCGTTAGTACTCCAGTAAGCACACGAACTGCAGGTTTGCTGAAGCCTAAATGGCTAAATGTAAAAAATCTAAATGTAAGGATAAATACTAATGA